GGGCGGTGGGTGGGAGCCACGAGACTCACCCATTTCTCCTTGGGAATCCTTGAATTCCTGTTGTTGAGCTTCAATCTTCACTGAGGGCCAGTCATCAACTGTTTAAGTGTTCAATTATCAATAAGCCGAAGTCTGTGGAAGGCCATAATGGCCCTGCTTTAAGTGGTTTGCTACTACTGCAGCTCACCACACTGTCTCTGCCTCTGCCACCATCTTGGATCTCCTGCCTCCTGGTTCTTGAGAGCTGGGACAGTCTATCCCTCTTTTCTTTGTTTACTTCCAACCCCCAATGTTAGTCCTGTTTAATAACAGTGGCATTATGCAGTATTTGTCCTTTTGTGACTGAGATATTTCACTAAGCATAATGTCCTCCAGGGTCATCCATTTGTATAATATTTTATAACTTCATTGTTTTTCAGTGCTGCGTAATATTCCATCTGTGAATATACCACAGTTGTTGATGGGTACTTGGGTTGCTTCCATTTCTTTGCTATTGTGAACAAAGCAGCAATAAACATAGATGTGCATATATCTGTTTGGATGGAAGTTCTGGTTTCTTTAGGGTATATGATGTCCTTCTTCAGGGACTAGCTTCATCTTTGGCTATACATTCATATGCCCAAAATATTTTAAATAAAGTCTCACCAGCTTAGCTTCTAAGGACCCCTCTGGCTTCACTTCTCCCAAGACATATTTGTCTGTTCTTTTGGCAATCTATGGTATATTCAGTGACCAATAAATATGGGATTGGAGATAAAAGAGAATTTATAAACAGTCTACTAGTAAAATTTAAAAAAAAGAACAAGTTGGGTATTGTTTTGACTGACCAGGGTCTCCAGCAGGTTTGCAGAGGCAATTTCATTGCATGGGATGAGATTGTCCATCTGATCCTTTAGTGAGTTTTCAGAGGCAGTTTAATTGCATGAGAGGAGATTGCACATATTTCTCCTGTGTAGCAGCTAGTGGATTTGAACCACATGCCATTGGGATTGTATTGCAGCTCCTTATCACTAGGTTACCAAAGCTTCATATAAATAAAACAATTTTGTAACACTGTAAGTGTAAATACTTTTTACTTTGCTGTTACAGGCACAGTTTTTAAACACCTGTTTAAGATCTTGTGAACTATAATACTGTTGTCTAGACAGTTCTAACTCAGTGTACTTCCTTTGGTTTCAGAGGCTGTACATTGTTATGGCAAGAGACTGTACTTCTTTATCCTGAGGAATCCCCTGGTGGATTTAAACTGCTGACATTTCAATTAGCCGACAGGTACATTGGATACTATGCCACCAGGCCCCCTGTTTATATGCAAATTTTTGAGTGAATATTCCAACAGCTTAACCCTCTTGTTAATGAATATATAAGCAGATAGGGTTATCTTTGTCTACTTAGCTCATGCCCTGATGTAAGATTTGGGATAAACAGAAGTATAATTTACCCATGGAGACTTTGTGGTCTTTTTCAGGTAATTGCTGTAAAAAGTATGATGAATCAGTTTAATTTTTTTCAAAAATAGTAGAGCACACAAATGATCTACAATTAAGAATTTGCTTAAGGAACTTCTGATGAGACACTGGGTTAGTGAGGTTACATAAAATAAAGTTAGCCTTTATAATTATTTTCTGGAAAACAATTTATTAAGTAAAGAAAAAATGTACTGTTTTACCAGAGGAAAAAAACACCTATTTTAGCTTGGTTACATCATTTGACATTTAAATATTCTAAATAAACCTGTAAAAAAATTCTTAGTTTTAGCTCTAAGAAATAACCTTTCTTTTGAAGCACAACTTCTTTTTAAGTAGGTAAAATGAACACTTTTATTACAATTCTCAGATATATATGCACATATACTATTTGCCACATATAAAACAAAAGTACATAAACATAAATTACAACATAAAAAAAAGGCCTGAAGTCCCTCTACAACTATTGACATATATCAAAGTTCATAGAGTTCCTGGACGCACGTTATTTAGGAAGTGGATGCCACTCTTGCTTACAAACCTGTCATAGTATGTTATTGTTTATGTGCTATTGAGTCGCCTGTGATGTGTAGCGACCCTATGTACAACAGCTCTGAACTCTTCCTTGTGTGACTCAATGGATTCCCAGAGCTGTGTGTGTGAAGATGCCACTTAGTTCTTTATCAATTAGTCCATCAGTCCAAAGTTTAAAGTTAGATTCAAAACCCATTACAAAAGGGTGGAGAAGGACCACCCCATAGCATTACTTCAGGGTTGTAATCTTTACAGATGCAACTTGTCACTTTTCTCCTCCAGAGCAGCTGGTGGTTTTGAGTCTTTTTAATAAGCAATTAAAGTAATTTCTGGTTTTTTGAGGACCCATTACAGTAATCAAAATAAATAACTCATCCTTTTTTAAGTGTACTTTTAAAATGAACTAGTTCACATTTAAAAATTTCCCTAAGCAGCCACTTAAAGTTTAAATTATTTATAGTGATAATACAGCCTTTAGAAAGGTTGGTGCAATAATTAAAAATAAGAGGACATATAGGAAGTAGATTATTATGAAAGGAAAGAAAACTGAGGCTTATATTAACACTGAGAGAGCCAGCAGTTGAGCCCAAACATGATTGTAGGTAAAATAACCAGACATCTATCTCTTGAACAAAGTCCAATTTTCAGATCAAAAGACTTAAGGAGATGATGGGTAATTTTAGATAGTAGCACAATTTTGAAGAACACAACACAAAACAAAGCAAATAGTTACTACAATTAGAGTTTAAATTCTGAAATACTAGTTTGTGAAAGCTGAAATGTGTAATAGAACCTTAACTCCTTTTATAATCTTAGCTTAAGCTCAACTGCCACTTGAGTTTCTTCTTGTTGTTATGTGCCTTCAGGTTAGAACCACCGTCCTGTGACTTTTT